GACATTAGATTAATTCTTTATAAAGAAAGAAACTGCAAATTAAGTTGGCGAGTTTTATTTAACAATCCAGAGATCGTACCCGAAGGATCTAGAAAATAATCGAGGTTGATTTAGTAAAATCGTAACAGTATTAAGCTTTATTATACTTACATCTAACTAATCTGTTTATGCTTTTTAATAATTTTGCATGGCTTATTAAAAATGAATGAAAAAATTTGCGTACAAGTTTTTTTAGCTCCTGAGAGTTACCGTTAAAAATCAAAAACTAAGATCATTTTTCATTGTTTTTCACGTAATCGTTTATTTACGTGAGTGCGTATATATAGCATTTCAAAAATTATTTTTTCAGGGCTCTTTTAAATATATATTAGAAAAAGAAATCCTTTATTTAAATGCTTATGCATGGCTTATTAAAAATGAATACGAGAGGATATATCAATACTTTCTGAAGATACCATTTAAGAAAATAAAATTTTTTATAAAGGAAAACTACTTTTTTTTTAAATAGGAGCTTAGATATATTAACAAAATTTTTAAATTTAGTACAATTATACAATCTGTAGAATTCTCAAAAGAAAGTGAAAAAATTAGGAAATAAAATAAAAAATAAATTGTATTTATTAAAACCCAAAAATAAACGATTTGTAAAGAATAGGTGAGTTCCAAAGCAACCATACATTGTCACGCATTCCTAAATGCATCTATGGAAATTTTGACGATGTATCATCATGGTCCAAAATGCATTGGTAAAGTTATTTATGAGCAAACAAAAGCAAACTCCGAATCGCTGAGGTTTGTGATGCTTTACTTAATCATAAATTCTTAGCGACATCGGCCAAAGTGGAAGGACAAATTTTTGCGATAATTATATATATAAATATATACATATATTGTGTAAACCCATATACCACATTAAAGTTATTTCACTCTTTTGGATTTCCAAAATTATAAATAGACAAAGAATATAAATATGTATATAAAAAGGAATTACTTTGTCATTTCCAAAACCCCTATTTACATCGTTTACTTACATATATTAAATTTTTACTCCTATTTTTCGCGTTTTACTAAATCTATGCCTAAGATAATGGTGCTTATGTTAAATATATTTGATCTAGTATTTTATTAATTAAAATTTCATGTATATTTACATATGAATATATACGCATATATATTTTTGCGATATATTTTAATTTATATTTCCTCATTTATTTGCAGAAAAGAAATAAATACAACTTCGCATGTGCCCAATTTCATAGATTATGTTCATAATTAATTAATTTCGGAAGTTATCCGAGGCGTTTATTAAAAATTACATTCTGATTTATATATATATTCCCACCGAGAGCATGAGAAACACTATGCCGAATCCTAGAAATATTGATGCACATAAGCTAATTGAGAGTTCCTTAAACAAAGTGCGCTCCTTCGAATTACTCGGACGTGAAACTACAAATACAAAAAACCAGGCGGTGAAGAAAGTACCAATTGTCAGCAATACCGTGGCCAGATGTGGGAACACGGAAGGATTTACAGGCGAAATGTACCGTTGCATAGTTTCCATTTTTCTGAAGAGGGGAACTTAGATTATTGACATTTTAATATAAATAAATATTGGATAATACAACTACTTGTTTATAAAACTCGAACTAAATTCAATTAAATTATATACGTGGCCCTGCCAACGATTCACAAACTATTACTATTACTATTAATGGCGGCCAGTGCTGCCATATATTTTCTTAGAAAAAGCTTGCCATAACAGCATGATTAACGTGAGATAGTTGGAAAGTTTAAAAATTAATTATTATTCGCATCATAATTCCCAAATTTACAATAATAACAAACCATAATTTAGACGCAATTGAAAATAATTTTGTTTTTAGCCAACTTCCATAACACGAATAAAGTTTTTTTTGTTGTCCAGCAAGTAATAAGGATAAATTGGTGCTAAATAGTCAGAGTTTATATGAGGATACTATTGTTACTAATTTCTGTAATTTTCCTCTGTAGCTCTTCAAGCAATTTTTTTGACATTTGTTTCTTCTTAATTTTTTTCTCTATACCGCTTATATTCACATCGAAATGGAATACGGTGCACTACAAAATAAATAAGTTTCATTTATTTGTTCATTAAATCATAAATATTTAAACCTTATTTTGGAAAATATACCTCAGCAACAGAAAAAACTGATTGAAAACGCTATCCTCCAAATTAAAAGGGTCATTTGTTTTACGCAAACTTCTTAGCTTACTCCTTTTTACACTTTGACTTCAATGATTTCCAGGCCTAAAATAAGCCTACCTATTTTGGTTTTTATTTCTTCTCAAACTAACAACTCAAGCCCAAACAGTAGACTTTTTGTTATCTCCTATTTGGCAGGTAAAAAAATTTACAAGGTGACAGTGAGCTTAGAATACGAAATAGTAACAAAATTTACTGATTCGTAAATTTTAATACCAAAGTAAATTTTTTTACCTCGACAGAGGAAAATGTGTGTGTAAAGTAAGGCACAGCTTTTATTTATCTATTTCTTATATACATTTTTACATTATAATAACCATCATCTCTACCCGTTCAAAAGTGGAATATAATTACTCATCTCATCTTTTTCACTATCTTCATAATCAATATCAGCGGCTTCGTCAATAGACTCTAATATTTCTTGCGTTAATTCAACTTTATCTGAAAACTAATATCTCTGAAATATTTATTAATAATTAGATATATTCACGCATAGCCATATATGTTAGCAATTATTAATAAATATTTCAGATATAGTAGTTTGCATGCATATATATATGTAAATATTGTAGTAAAAACCCAAATTTCAATTTAAAAATTAACGGCTTTTATTCATTTGAAATTTAAGACAGCTGCAATCAGTTCAAAGTGAAAAACAAAATAAAAGGGAACCCCAAAATTTACAAATACGAATAAACGCACAAAATAGCACAGCGACACTGTGCGCTGTTGGCTTCGTCGTCACCCCCTCCCCAACAAACGAGTGTTTCGTCGATAAAAAGTACCACCGTGTAGACTCGGACATATTAGGGAATGTTGTGAACCGTTGGTCTGAGTGTTACGATTTTACTAAATCAACCTCGATTATTATCTGAATCCTTTGGGTACGATCTCTGGATTGTTAAATTATAACTCGCCAACTTAATTTGCAGTTTCTTTCGTTATAAAGAATTAATCTAATGTCCTTTATTTCCTCAATAATTAGCAATTCAATTATAATGCACTTTACTATTTACATACATTTGCATCAACTTTCACAATTTACTCTACTTAAATGTAATCTCCAACGCGTTTACTTTCCGACTTTACTTACACTTTATAACTAACTTAACTTGCAGCTGAGTGTCGCGCTTATATAGCAGTCGGCTGCTCGCAGACGAAAGCGTAGAAGCATCGAGTTGTTCGCTATGGAAGGTTCTTGTTTTATCGTGTCTAGAATGTACTAGTTATCGGCTTCTCTCTTTCATCTGACATTCGCCTCGCATTTTCGCAACA